AGAGCCCAACGAACCCCAACGAACAAAAAAAAAAAAAATCTGATACCGTAGATACATGAGCAAATCATTTGTGCCCAAACTCATTCTTGCCGAATAAATGTAAAAAATGGGTGCTTGGACAGGGGCCGCAACTGTTCGCAGACTACGGGGAGGCCCACGCCCCGGGACACCACTCGCTGCTGCGGTTCCCCCCTGCTGTGTGTGCACACGTTCGACCGCCTCTCTGTCGCTTCCTCTCTTTCCCTTCTCTCACCTGCGTCTTGTCGAAGAAGAAGAGGTGCACGAAGGATGCCGTGGTATAGGTGCATCGGTACGGCACCTGCATGAGCTGTTCGTCGAGGCCGACGACGGTGCCGGCGTTCACCAGACGCTCTTTAGCCAGCCTGCGGAGCCTCTGCGTGCCCCCCATCGTCGTGTGCCCAAGCATCCCCTCCGTGTTCTGTGCCGCGTAGACAGCGTGAAATAAAGGGGGGCTCGTCAATTCCAGGGGGGGGGGGGGGGTACGTGTGGGGTTTATTCAACAGGGACAACCCCATATTTTTCACGGAATTGAACAAGTCGACTCGTCGTTGTGTGTTGCTACGACGACCGCTGGGTGTCTGTAAGCCAAGCTGACGGACTTCTCTCTTCGGGTGAGATCTGAATTGTCTCCAAGTTACACTTTACTGACGCCCTCACACATGACTCCCCCAAACGTAACAACAGCGTTTCTCAAACGCAAACCTACTAAATAGTATTATATACTTCTATTCTCACCCATTTATTTTTTTGTCGCGGCAAGGTAGGCAGGGCCGACGTGCGTACGTCTCTTTTTTCTACCGGTAACACCGCTAGCGCGGTCGATGAACTAACAACACACACAGGCAAACGACTTGCAGAGATTTTCACTCGGCGGTCCCATTCCGCGCGGTGCGCACTTTTCGAGCTGTGCCCCCCTCCCTTCCAAAGACCGACGTTGAGTCTACCTACCCTGGACGCCTTTTGATTGGTCAGCCCGGTGAAAGCAGCGCGGTCGATGCTAACGAATAGCAAAACGCACACATGCACACACGTATGCATGATGCGTGCGTACCTGACGAACGGCCCCCCTGACGACGTTGAACCAGCCCTGTCTGCGAGCCCCCCTGGCGAAGCTCATCTTCGCGTTCATGAGCACCACGTTGGACCCGTAGAATTCCTCCTGCACACCAAAACAAAACAAAAAAAACACAACAACACAACAAAACCAAGTGCACACGACAAACACAACCGACGAAAACAGACAGGGGGCGAGGCGAGACGAGACGAGACGAGATGAGCAAAGACAACATCATCGTCACCATCATCAATCATCATCACCATGCTGCCACCAAAGAACAACGCATGGAAACAAGAAGGCCAGGTATTCACGAGCGGCCAAAAAAAGCCATAAAAAAAAAAAAAACTACCTTTGATTGGTCGAAGACCTCAAACTCAAAATAAAGCAAAGTTGCAGCGACCAAAAAAAAAACTAAAATAGACCATACTTGATTTGTCCTTTCCCGGCCAACAGAGCCGATTCTGTTTCATGTTTTCCATGTTGATTACATCGGTAATACACGGACGACGACATCGGTAATACACGGACGGCGTAACAGCGCTCGAACACCCACAGCAGCAACACACTGTTGCCAAGGGCAACACAACACAAGCCAGCAACGCCAACCCCCACGGGACGGCGGTCGTGACAGCGTTCTCTCGCAGCACACAGACTGTCACCCTTTGATTGTTAGAAAGCGTGTTCGCGATGATGGCCCCGCTACAAGATACAAGACTGATTATCCGATGCCTTTTCACTCTCACTGGGCAGTCGCTTAGCGCGGTCGATGCAAAATAGAAAAAAAAAAAAAAAGCACACACACGCACACGCACCACAAACGCATTATTTTCTGTTTTCAACCGCACTGAGACTGACGTCCTTTCATGGTTCAGCCAGCTAGCGCGGTCGACGCTAACAACAAAGACACACCAACGTAACACAAAACACAAAACACACCTGGCAGGCCTTCTCGTTGTTGATGATCTCCGCCTTCTCCTCGTCCGTGAGGAACCTCAGGAACGGAACGTTCTTCAGAAGGGTGAACCTGCCGCCCGCAAACAGAAGGAAACAACAACACACATGGACGGAGGACACGAGTGCCCAAGACAGCGGCTCAACACACCAGAAGGGAGATAGACACACGAGCGATAGGCAACCGTAGCGGGGCCCAAGGGCAGGGTAACCCGGGAAACGTTGGGGGGGGGGGGGGGGTACCCATCCGTTGCTTGCCCCGAGTCGGCTTGATCATTGATTCACCGCAAAGACTTTTTTTTTTGTTCCCTTCCCCTTTGACCTTTTGACTGTGGTTATATCTCCAACGGGTAGTCTCTCTTTCAATGTTGGTATGAATATTCCTGATACAGTACACTGTCACAAGTTTCTCACCTGTCTGGGATCTGGTCGGCGGCAGGGTGGTACTCCAGCTTCACCCTCGCTGCGTTGTTTTCCGCGATGAGCCCTTCCGACTCCCTGTCGTTGATATGTCCGTGGTGGAACAGCTCGTGGACAACCTCTGGGTGCTGCACCAGCATGTATTTCGCCGCAACCTGTTGTTCGTGGCAAGCAGTTGCATGCATGCATGTATGCGGATGTTCGTATGTTATTGCCGATTGTACGGGGGGGGGGGGGGATGAGGGGGCGGTAAACGCTCTTGAGACGATACCGCTGCCTGCTATGCTAAGCGGGTGTGCGGGTGTTTCTTTAATGCGCATCGACCGGGCCAGCCGGCTGACCAACGAAAAGGCATCGATCTTGCAAAAGCAGGACAAAAAAGCAGTAACGAACACGCCTTATATTCATCGGGGTACCCCGGCGCGCGCGCCTGTTTGCATGTTATTACCTTTTTTCGATGTGTTTTTTTATATTTTCGGTGCGCCTTATCCACGGGGAGGCTTGACCTTCCAAAACACGCAAAACAAGATCGTTCCCGTAGGTGTACTATTATTTAGTACAATAGCGCAAAGCCACTAAACAAGCGGCGGTCGCACGTAAAGCACGCACACATGCATGCACCAAGGACGCAGGGGAAACATCGATTAACTCGTACAGCAAGAAAAAAAAAAACATGTACTAATAGATAATCTTACATGAGAACTTTTACCAGTACCAGCCGCAGCAGCGATCAATGTCACCATGGCCTCTGCTGGGCGAGATGGTCACATGACATCACAAGACACAACATGACGCGAGGAAACAACGAAAAATAACTCACCCGAGTCTTGAGCGAGCGGGCCAGCTCGGGGAACACCGGCAGTTGCTGGGACAGCGTGCTTCTGGCGTCCTGCAGCTGCCGGTTCTTCTCGAGCGCCAGCTGGTAGGCCACCGGCCCCTCGTGGAGCAGCTCTAGGATGTCCACGTCCTCGTGGGCGGAGATGAAGTTGGAGGCCAGCTCGAAGATGAACATCAGCCTCCGGTACATGTACGACTCCACCAGGCTGTTTTATTGGGCGGGGGACGGGGACGGGGACGGGGGGGGGCGTACTCTCATGTTTGCATGCCTGTAGATGTTAGACCATTGACCACGCGCGCTCTCGAGAGGACGGAGCATTGTTCCCACAGGACCGATCACCGATGGTCAATGGTTCCTTCCTAAAATGTTTTTTTCTCTTTGTAGCCTATCTGTCCCATCGATTTCATTTCCCGCCTTTTCAGCCCACTTCCAATGTCCCACCCAGTGTACGACGGGGGCGAGGGGGTCGAAACGGTGGGGATGACCGGAATGTATGAAAGGAGGCACCACCGTGCATTTGCCGTACACATCACAACAACGACGCAACAACGGACCAGGAAGCCGGGGGGGGGGGGGGGGGGGGACCCGGCAAAAAACAAACCCCTGGGGGGGGGGGGGGACCCCAATTATAAACAAAAGGGGGGGCCCAAAAGGGC